AGCTGAAGTGAACCTTGACAACGGAAAGAGGCTTTAGGAGCTAGGACTACTCCACTGATAATAATAATTCAATACTGTAAGGATGTTAAAGGGACTGGTTTTCCACTGAGGTGATAGTGGAAAACACGTATCTGACAGCTATACAGGGATATTATTTTGAATGATCATTCTACAGAGATAATCTTTAACAGGTTTTATCCATACTGCATGAATATTTCCAATGAAGCTTGAACTTGATCAGTCTCGATTGCCAAGAACTGCTACACTGGGCATCGTTCCTGCTGAAAGCAAAGAAACAGGAACACCGAAAAATATACTAACAATTTATGATTGAATCATAGAATCATAGAATCATAGAATCACCAAGGTTGGAAAAGACCTTCAAGATCATTCAGTAAGGATGAAAAAGTAAGGAACGCTTTAGTATGATTTTTTTCCCTTCTCTGCCCCATTGAAGATGGTGAAGCTTGGTGTTGCAAGGTGCTTCTTAACCCCAGTGTGATTAGGGTGTGAAGTTGAAGAGATAGATCAGAGCTCAGATTTTCTGAGACTTTTGGCTGGCAATCCACATAGGAATTTGGGAGCTCATCCTCTGTCTTCTCTAAGAAGTGGGTCACAGCCTTGCAGCAGAAGCCTGTTGAGCTTTGGGCCTACTTGAAGGCAGATTTATCACTGAGATAGGGCTGGGGAAACCTTGTTTAAATACAGAATCAAGATATCCTGAGGTCTGTTTGGTGTGAGACCAAGCTGGAGTCATCTTTCCTTACCTTTCTTTAAGTTGCCCAGCTCTGGGGAGTTGTTTAGGTTCCTGTATTGATCTAGAGAAACACACATCACCAAAGACATGCTCATCTTAGCTACGATAGATATCCATCTTAAGAAGGATCTCAGTTAGGTGATCCCCTTAGAGTAACAACTCCTGAGTCTCTGAACTTGTCAAATAATTGCCGAGTTTCCCCAGCTGCAAAATGGGCATGACAATAAACCCCAGGCCTGCGGGCGAGTGTAGAAGCGCACTTTGATTGAAGCCTGAGCTGAAGTGTTTCTGTAGCTGGAGCTGGAGAATGGGATTAAATTGTAGTTCTGCTCCCTTTGGCTTTCTTGACTCAGCACCAGGCTTCCTGTGCACTCAACCTGAAACAGACTTTATGGATGAAAAAAGCCTGTAAAGCTACAGAGTCTGCTCTTTTGCAAAGACGCTGTTGCGTCCTACCCTCCAGGTGGTGTATCCAGCAAACACATCCCAAACATGTAGGCCCACTTCTGGAGATTTCTCATTTTTAAGACGCCACGAGGATTTCAGATACAGTTTGTGTAGGGTGACGTCACGATCGTTTCAACAGTGTAGAAATTGCTTAAAGATTGTTATAACAAGGACATCAGCTGCACGTGCATCCTTTGGGTGACCCTGCTTTGGCTTTATTAGCACCCAGACAAATGCATGTAGAGGTATTGGTAGTGACCAGATTGTCTTCACAGAAGATCTGGAGGCTAAAGCAATAGTTTTTAAGCATTTAGAATTAATGTAAGCAGCTGGATCCTGCCCACTACCATGAGGACCACCAGTTTCTGCCTCCCCTGTGACAAGCAGAGCATGGACACGTGATTATCAGCAGTGGAATGTTTAATATCCAGACTGCAAAACTGCTCAGACAGTACTGATTGGGGAAGAGATACAGGATAGACAGATTGTAGCTAACTAGTAAATTCAGCAGATTGCAGTTATTGTTGTGATCTCGGCATCACAAGTATGGTAATATTTATGATAACCCAGGACAGATGGAAATTTCCCTTACACAGAGTTTCCACTGGAGCAACTGATTTGTCTTTGGTGGGTTGATGCCTCAGACATATTACTACCTTTATCTGAAGTTTTAGTACTGAATAGGACAGCCTCGAGGGAATGCTGGAGACTGGAAAAGCTGGCTGTTCTTCCAGGGTTAGCTTGGCGGTGAGTTCTGGTGCGATGTTGCAGGTATTTTCTGGTGGGGTTGAAGGTCTCAGGCGTTCAGCAATACATTTGTTTTGCAGTGGCAACCTTGAGATGGCCAGCATTGTAGGAAAAAGGGAAAATGTTACTTCAGTCAATCATAGAATCATAGAATGGTTTGAGCTGGAAGGAACCCTTCAAGGCCATCTGTCCCTGCACTGAGCAGGGACACCCACAGCTCCATCAGTGCTCACAGCCCGTCCAGCCTGACCTTGGCTGTCTGCAGGGGCAGAGCACCCACTCTGGGCAATGGGTGCTGCATGCAGACCTGAGGAGGAAGGAAATACTGATTTTGCTTGACTTTTTCCTAGAGTTTGATGCTATTAGCAAAAAGCATCAAGTATTAGCTGATACATCTGCATGCATACATGTCAGATAAGTAGTGCTTCACTAGTTCTTCAGCTTCAGTGCTGATAAAGACTAGGTATGAATTCACTGAAAGATGGAATAACATCTTTCCTCTGTTTTTCTGTCCTTAAACCTATTTTAAAATCCCTTGTCCGTAGCCAAGGTTAGAAAATATTTTCTCTGTGGTGTTTTCTGTGCCATTTACTCAACCCATTTGGAATATGCATTGTGATAGTTTTTGCAGGCAGTTTCTAGTTCATATTTTCTTTTTTTAATCAGGCAGAGACATTACAATTAAAATACCGTAAAAGCGATTCTGGCAGTATTGCAATAAGCATGTTTTTTAATTAAAGAAAGAACATGGGATGTACAAATAGTACCAGCTAATGGGAAATTTCATCCAATGTATTTTTTAATTGAGATTTAAAAGGAAGAGTAGTTAGCCCTGTTTCTCCCTGCCGCTGTGATATTTTTCTGTGTTGTTACAGTGAGGTGCACCAAATCTGCAAGAATTACAGTCTCAGAACCTTAAAGTCTCTGTTGTTTTGATGGGAAAAAAAAAAATGCAAGGCATTAGTTCTTTAGAATGTTAGTGCCATTTTAGCAGGAATTCAATGTTATTCATTAGAATTCAAGCCACAGAGCTGGACGTTCCCCAGAGAAAGGATTTTAAGGCCCATCTGTAGCAACTTGAGGGGTTTTTTGGGTTCTTTCTCAGCTATAAACCCTGGTTTGTGTTTGGCCATGGGCTGCAGGTCTTCCTTTCCCGTTCTGTTTAGGATGGGATTATAGACAGCATGCACACCAGACTCCCAGGGCTCATGCTTGTTGGTGAAATAGATTTTTTTGCATCTTCAGTAGCTCCTGAGACTCCTCCAAGGTGTTGCGGGAGGAGCGGACTGGAAAAAAACTTGTTCTGAGCATGCTGGTCTGGGCTGAAAGCTGTTTTCTGCCATGGGAAAGGGGAATGTGTCCCTGTTGGAGAAGTAGATGGTGCTTCTAAGTATAAGATGGAAAGGTCCTGCATCTGTCTGCATCTGCCCTAGATGCTAAGCAGGCCCCCCCCCCAATGACATTGTCCCATTAATAGTTCCATCCTTACACACCCATATGTAGTACAGAAATATCCCATGCAGCAGGGATCTAAGCCTTTGGATGTGGCTCTGGGCAGCCTGGTCTGGTGGTTGGCACATAGCAGTGGGTTGAAACTAGATGATCATTGTGGTCCTTTTCAACCCAGGCCATTCTGATGGTTTTTAAAGCTCTTAAATGCAAATAAATATCTTCAAAGGCATAAGTGTGTATTGTAAGCACAGAAGTACTGATGAAGAGTAATGTGTAGCAGGGCACTGCATGAAGATTTCAATTTCACTGTATCTCCTCTTCTTCTGATGCCTTAACAAACTGTGCATTGAGATAGCTCTTCTGTGAGAACAGGCTTCCATTAAGAAGAACAAGTTCCAGCAGCAAATCAGTGATGTGTTTAAATGTAAGTGCCAGAAATCAGCTTGAGATAAGTGTGGGTGGAGTATAGCAAGTGGAAACACACTGGTCTGATGGTCACCCAGATAGACCATAATAATAATTCTACTCCCTACAACTGTTCTTTCCCTGATGTCCCCCTCTTTTGCTGAGGGTGGAGGACTCAACAGGTGTCCATCACCTGTAGACTTGAAATAAGAGCCTGAGGACTGATTTTTTTCTTGCATTTTCGTGCTTAGTGTGATGCCTTCTCAAGGCTTACATGACAGCTTAGTCATAAACTCACCAAGGTTGGAATAGACCTCCAAAATCACCCAGTCCAACCATCCGCCTAGCACCAGTTCTTCCCCACTAAGCCATGTCCCTTAGTGCCCACAGCTAAATGTTTCTTGAACACCTCCAGGGACAGTGAGTGACTTCACCACCTCTCAGGTCAGGCCATTCTATCTGAGAGCGCTCAAGCAGCTGCTGGTTCCTCACGCACGGACAGATGAAGGCCTCCATCTAACAAAGTGTTGGAATATGTGTTTATCTTTGTAGCATTATTGATGTTCTGGTGGAAAAACATAGCTGGTTTTGATCTGCACCTGTATATCACGAGAGTGAAGGAACCTATATAGGGAGGTTTGGTCTTGTGGTTCAGGCAGCCTTGGGATGGAGCCAGTAGGACAAACTTCTTCACATCTTGCTCGACACTGGTCCAGCTTGCAGTAAACTGTTATGGCTCATCCAAATGCCACGTGAGCCTGTCGACAGGTCTGTGAAATAGTCTGTTGTTCCCACTGAAGGCCTGTAAACTCTGTATTTCTCTTCCCATGCAGAGGAGGATCTATGTTTTGTGTTGTTGTTGCTTTTTTTTTTTTCTTTTTCTTGCAACAAGGATGCACCAGACGTAACATTTAAGGTCATACATAGTTCTTTACAGAGAGAGTGGTGAGGTGCTGGAACAGCTGCCCAGAGAGGCTGCGGATGCCCCATCCATCCCTGGAGGTGTTCAAGGCCAGGTTGGATGGGGCCCTGGGCAGCCTGGGCTGCTATGAAATGTGGAGGTTGGTGGCCCTGCACATGTGGAGGAGGGTTGGAGCTTCATGATCCTTGAGGTCCCTTCCAACCCAACCATTCTGTGATTCTGTGATGCTGTGATTCTGTGGTGCTGGGAGGGAGTAGTCCTCTTGAGGAGATGGCCTTTCAGCCAGCATATCCTCTTCTGCAGGGGTTTTCTGCTAATCGAAGTGGTACGACACACTCTTGACATGCAGGACAATTTTTCCGTCGTTATTTCCCTAACACTTTCTGTTACTGATTTAAAACAAATCTCTGGAGACTCTCCAGCACCTTCCTTACAATTTGCTTGCTTTAACGCTTCTGCAAATGCTGTGATAGCACATGCTGAGGTGTTGCCTCAAAAGCTAACGGTAAAGAAGCCCAACCTCCATGTAAAGATGCCTTTTGGAATGGGGACTTTGCTTCCCACCAAGTTCAGTAAATCCCTGGAGCATTCTGAATCTCAGCCTAAAAAATAATGAGAAAGTCAACGTCTCCCTTACGCGCTATGAAAATGTGAATAGTAGAAGAATTTTTTTTTTGGTAAGGACGTTTTTGAGAAGAGTTATAAACCCCCGTGTCTGAAAGCATGAATCAGTCTCTGTGTCACTGTGACACTCTGCGAGGCAAGGAGAAACTTGGACGTGGGACAGCCTTGTTCCAAGGTTAAGTGCTCTGGGTACCAGGATGGTGAATTTGACCCAACTTGGTACTGCATGAGCCAGCTGGGGCTGCGTGACAACTAAGTGGTGATACATTAACTTCCCACTTCCTACCATGTGTGCCTTCTACCATTTCCCAGTGAGTTCAGAAGATAAGACTCTTGGTACAACCATTGATACGCTGGTGGAGCACTTATTCACATGGCAGATAATGCTCCCCTTACCATTATTATTACTATTATTATTATATTACCATTTTTTGTTATTTGGTCCAGATGTTTCTCCCTTTCTCCGAGGCTGCCTCCAGTTTTTTCCTTGTTTTTTGCTTTTTTTCTTTCCCCTCCTCTTTTTCTTTTGAGTAAAGACAGATAAAGAAAGATTTCTTTTCCAGGCGGAGAGGTGGAGGCTAATTGCTGGGTTAATTGAGAAGAATGGTGCTTCTGATGTTCTCACAAAGTATCAAATAACCCCAACAGATTCCGCCCCCTCTCTCCCTCACTCCACCTAAAGAGACCCATTGAATTTGCACATTACTGTACAGAAGTGATTATGGCTTTAATTGTATTTATTTTGCTTGGCGGGGAGGCCATCATAACAGTAGTTGATTGATTTTTATAAAATCACCCTCAAGGTCATATGTAGGACTTTGCTTTCCCGTGCAGCCATAACAAACAATTTGAGGGTCACAGCCAAAGGCTCAGCTGAGCAATATTCTTCCTTTCTGCTTTCAGAGAAGGGGTCAAGTGCAATAAAAGAAGGAAGCATAACTTTTATTTTCTTTTAAAAAAGGGGAAGACAATCTTGTAAAGCAGCAGCTGTATATTTATTTTGACCTGATGAAAAGCAAAGAAGTATGGAGAGCTGAGTGTTGGAAGGACCGTGTATAAATTTTTGACACAGGTATTTGTAAGTTTGGCTGGAGTTTATTTTACATATTTTACACTTGGACTTGTTTAATGACTAAATGAATCCCTACTAATGTTTTCTTTTCCTTTGTCTGATATTGCTTTCTTTTTCTTTTTTTTTTTTTTTTAGATCTTCAGCAGTTGAATTTTTCTTTTTACACTTTTTTCCCATCAGTGCCTTGTGTTTTGTTCTGGAGGAGTTCAGAAGCTTCAGAAGCTGCATGAAGTTGTGGCCATCACTTGGAGCTGATGCACTCAGCTCCTGTGATTACACAGGGATCTGTCTGCTGCTGCTAAGGGACAGCCAAAGCATCCCATACAGCAAATCTCCTTTGGTGGTCACGATCTGACAAATCTTTGCCCCATTGCTAAGTGTGCTTTGGATTGTCATTGCACTTGGGGAAGGAGAATCTCAAGAGCCAGGCAACAGCTCCCAGCTTGAAATCCAGCTCTTTTTGTTCCAGCGCAACCAAATCTTCACCCAGAAAGGGAAAGCCAATAGGATGTGCCCCAGAAAGGGTCAGAACTGCAGGCCAAGCACAGCAGAATTAGTGCTTGCAACTGAGATGCTGCTACTGAGAAGTGCTGGAACAACACGTGTGCAGGGCCGTCACAGAGCGTCCAATTGCCAAGCTCACCAGACACCTGTAAATCCACAAAGGAGATAGAAAATATTTGAATAGATGCAGGGGCCCATTGCTCAGGATAGCTGACGTGTAGTGAGCCTAATGCTATGGAACAGTGGACTTCCTGAGGAAAGGAAAGAAAGGATTTAGAGGACTGTTCATTCGTGAGGAGCTGTATAAGGATGGGCAACTCTTGACATGCCAAAGCCACGCTGTACACAAAAGTGCCCATCAGAACCTCTAGAGCCAGGGTAGGTAGGGAAAAAGGAAGGTAAATCCCAGACCTTATGGGAAACAGGTATTTTCAAACAGCTGCCTTGGGATGTGCTGAAAAGGCTGCAGACAGGAAAGAACTCGGGAGTCTTACAGGAGGAGATGCTCCCCCATCTCTCCCATCCAACAGAGAGGATCTAGAAAGGGTTGTAGGAGGAATTGAATATTTCTAAGCTGCCTTATGGACAGCTTGAAAATTTTAAATGGACAGCGTGTGCCTGAAGCGTATGGAAACTTTTGGGAAGGTCATTTGAGGCAGAAGTGTGATTTTGCAATCAGAAGACAGGACAGCTCTGGCTACCAGCCTTCCCAGTTCAGTGGTGCAGCATAGCAACAATTAAAATATTCATTAAAAATCACACGAAGAGAAGTGGAAACAGAAATGACTATATTTCAGTGGGAATAGTGCATAGGAAGTCAATAAAGACCTTGGGGAAGATGTCTTTTTTATGTTAGGAATAAAATAAATCGCAGTGATTTATAGTTCCATTTCTCGATCGCAGTGATAAAATTATTAACGCTGCTGCTATAAGGCAAATATATTTAATAAATATTTCTGTTCTCAGCGTGGGAAGGAACAGGATGGTAAATTATATCACAAGAGGAAGATGGAACAGCAATCCATTTATTACCGAAGAAGATGTTAAATAGTATCTTTCAGGAATACACATTCTTTAAGCACCAGGGCCAGTTTTATTCTGGTAGAGGCATTCTGTGGTCTGTGAATATTAATTTCAGTGTACGTGGGAAAGTACAGAACAGAAAAGTTTCCCCTCAGAAAGGCGAAAAAATTTTAAATCATCTTCTAAGAAAATCACAAATTTGTTCAAATGTAGTTTTGTTCAAATGTAGTAGTGTGATCACCTGGAAGAAGTAAATCACCTGCAAGTAGATGGAGATCCATCACCGATCACATCTGTGAGTGCCATTCAAACTAAGCACAGATTTACACTGTGGAGTACACAGCTGGGCAGAAAGGAACAAAAACTGTGGGTACTCAGTAAGGGACTGCGTGAGAGAGAACTGTATCTATGAAAACCATCAGGAGCTGAGGTGGCCAAGGAAGCTGCTGAAATGAAGTAACAAAAGGAGGTCGTATAGTTTTTTGTGTGATGAGGAAGGTACAGAAGGTGGGGATAAAGAAGAATTGCCTCTGTGGAGACTACCAAGGAGAATAATAAAGAGATGGAAGGATTAAGAAATCTGGCTTCCCCATTTCAGGAGGAGTGTTCATAGAATCACAGAATAGCTTCGTTGGAAGGGACCTCAAGGATCATCAAGCTCCAACCCCCTGCTGCAGGAAGGCCACCAACCTCCATATCCAATACTAGACCAGGCTGCCCAGCCTGAGTGTTCAGGCTATGGGAGAGGATACAGATGATTCCTTGCAGCAAGAATCTTAGAAACTTTATAACCAGCCTGATCAAGGGCTGAGGTTTGATTTAATTGCTGTTTGCATGCTGACACCTTTGCAGGAAGTGCTGTTTTGTAGACCTCTCTGCAGTGCAACGCAGGAGGCCGTAAAGGCAACCGCTGTCTGAGAGCTCATCTGTGGTTGGAAATAAAACAGAAATTGTGACCAGTAAGGGAGATTAGCCACTGGAAAAAAAATGATCTTAGAAAATGGTAGAATGATGTCACCAATCACTTAATTGATTGTCTGCATTTCTGGAGGGCATCCAGCAGTCAAACACAGAGTCTCCGCTTCCTTCAGTTTGTCAGTAGTGTGATGTGCACAGACCAGCAGGAGGTAGGATCTAATGGTCCCTCCAGTCTGTGAATGCATACCATTTCAGCAGAGCACGCTTCTGTACTGCCAACACTTCATTTTTCTAGAAGTGTCAGGTGTACCTCAGAATAAGTCAGAAACCTTCCATCATTTTAAATGAAACAAGCTGAATTTCATGCTGCTGTATCAGTGTTTACTCAGTACAGTTTGTGAAAATACAACATGGCTGTAACAAAGCAAGCTTAACAGAAATGCATTTGTGTGTAGAAAAGTATGTCTAGGGAAACAGGCAGCTTATATACCAGGAATCTGGTGTTTGTGGGAGGAATCCCATGGTTCGTAGTGCTTATTTGCAAGAAAATGTGAGGTTTATCTCTTCTCTGCATGCCCTGTATAAACTTATCTGGAACCTACTTAAGTCTCCAAAGGAAATACTGAATGGGGAGCTCTTATTCAAATACTAGCTTTGTTGTGAGAGTGAGAAATTAAGCTCAACAATTAAAGCCCATCAATGCAAGAATAAATAGAGTATGGAGAATGTGCTCAGCAAGAGTGGATGCAATGGAATGGGAAAGGCAGAGAAGTGCTGTGCAGCTCCCATATCTCTGTGACTCGTAGTATCTTATGGGGAAGCCAACAGTTTGATGGGTATGAAGATCAACATTGAAGCTTGCTAACAACAGTAGGATTCTGGCCATGGTATGAGATTCCTTAACTGCTGCTTTGTAAAGGGAAAGATTGGGAGGCTCACAGACCCTTTGTAAGGAGATATGATGTGAGGCTTTGGGACAAGCTCCAGGGATGCATGGTTTGACCTAGGAAGACCTATCCCAACTGCAGAAGGATGAGTTGTCTGAGAGCCTACTCTGTGCAAATACACCGTAAAGATAGCAGAAGTGTCCTTTATAGGAGGGAAGCTGTGAAAGGATGTCAGAGTGAACTGCTCTGAAATGATAGACTGGGATTACCAGCTCACACCAGGCAAGAACAAAGGAGGCATTTGATAGAATGAAAAGAGACTTGAGTTGAAACCAAAGGATGAAAATGCCTTTTCATGTGTTGTGTAGTATGTAGACCACAGAATTCAAGGCTTCAAGAAGTTATTGAGATGAGTATTAAAAAGATTTGAAGGATCAGATATACATTACTGACAAAACCTGTCCAGTTTTACTAATAGACTGTACAAGGAAAATGTTGGCAGGAAGATGAGTGAAACCTTATGCTTTGGGGCAAAACTAACCTTTAATTAGGGATTCAAATGAGGCTTTTATGGAATGAGGAGATCTTTTCGCATCCAGCTAACAAGGAGAAGTTTCTTGTATTGTATTTGGAAGCATCTGGTTTTGAACAGCAACTGGAAGAGTTGAATTGAACTAAGCAAGTTGCCAATTCCTGTGTTCCTAAGCTTTGCTCTCGCCTCCCTCTGTCACAAGCAGTTTGTAATCTGCAAAGTAATCCACAAATTAAGTAATATTATCCCCTTCTAACAGTTAGAGAGTGAGTGAGTTAAGACTGGGAGTTTCCAAACTTAACTCCCTTGGACTGGAAGTGGAGAGACTTAGATATTTGCCCAGATTTAATGGTGGTTTTGCTCGGTCTAGAAAGATGCTGCCTGTGGCAGAAGTGAAAGACGGTCTAAGTTAACTAAGATCTTCATTACTAAAAGAGTTCTATAAAGAACTGATCAGTCCAAAGGGAGAAGGACTGACTACGGTTGGATTTTTGTAGGAAGCAGTATTGTTATCTTCATCCTTAATCTCATATCTTTAACCTCATTAGGATAGAAGCAATTTCGTCTCAGAAAGAGAAGCAGTTCCACTGCCCAGAGAGGTGGTGGAGTCACTGTCCCTGGAGGTATTTGAGAACTGCAGAGATATGGGCATGGTGGGAGTGGGATGAGGTTGGATTTGGGGACCTTTGGAGTCTTTACCAACTTCAGTGATTCTGCAGTTCTGTGATTCAATGATCATGACTGACCATGTGGTCAGTGGTTGCATTTTACTCTTCTGTTGTCTTCAGGTGGCAAACTCGTGTTTACTGGTCCAGGACCTGTGGAACTACATGCTCATTACATTCTGATATCTGATGGAGGAGAGCTCCGGGTGGGATCTTCCACAGCCCGTTTCCATCACAGAGCACGCATCTATCTCTATGGAAGCCTCCACTCCCCACCACTGTTTCCATATGGGGCCAAGTTCCTGGCAGTGAGAAATGGGACCCTTTCCATCCATGGTGAGTACATTTTTCCTTCTCTTTAAAAGTGCTGTATTTCCATAAGAGCTGCCATACTGGGAGCTGAGTCATTTTGAAAATTTCAGCCCAAAGAAGAAGCTAGATGGTATCAAGTATTGTTTGATTCCATGATTCTGTGGTTCTGTGATTCCAAGTAGTTATGAAACCTTAGCACTCACTTAGGTGCTTGAAAGAGGCCTGGATTTATGCATTTAAATGAAAGTATCCATCCCTTGGATGTTCATTTCTCTGCTGTGTATCGCATGGGTTTGCTCTGCTACCAGAATGGGATATCCTTTTCTCCTTATCTCTCTCCATAACAGTTAGGAAGTTTCCTTCTCTTGGGGCTGCCAATAGCAAGTACTCTACCAGGTAGGTCCTGTGCTAAAGCCAGTGACAAGCTTTGCCAGCTGGTATGGGAACACTGCTTCTCTTCACAGCAGCAGCAGCAGCAGCACAGAACTCCCAGCAGTGTGTTTTCCTGTTCTCCTCCATCCTCCAGCCGTGCTTCTTCCTGATCTCCTGGCATTCCACGCAGTCACACCTGTTCTGCACAGGTTGTGGTCACAAGTGACAAGCCCAGAGCTATGCAGAAGAACTGTGGCAGTGCTAAAAACTTCAGTCCTCTTCTTCATGCCCAGTCCTCTGCTATAACCACCATATTTACTCTGAAAGAAAACCCCACGGAGCAAAAGTGTGCATTCCTATCATGTAGAATAGACAAGGGGCCTAGAAGGACTGACACTGGCATGGGTTTGTGGATGAATACAGGTTCATATCATGGGGTAGAAGAATTTGGACACACAGATTTTTTTAAAGGGCTGTGAAAAACTGATATTAAATAGACATTTCTAGTTGCTGTAGTCAGGATGTGGAATTCAGGTCCCAACAGCATGAATTAGAGTATTAGTGAAATGCACACATTTAGCTCTCAACTAACGGGCTGTTTTTAAAGGCAGTGCATGTCTTAGAAAGGAGAAAGGGGAAAAAAAAGCCAACGTGTCTGAACGCCTCATCTCCCTCCCTTCTGTTCTTGCATGTCAACATTCATGTCAGTAGGCATCCGTATCCTCCAGCAGGGCTTGAACTTCCACCCTCCAGGCCCACGGGCAGAAATGTTGCCATCTGAGCGTTACTGACACGTATGGCTCTCAGTCAAAAAATAATGTAAGGCACCGAGGGGTACAATCTGAGCACACAGAGGGAGAGAGCCGTGCTGTGTGAGGTGATCCTGTCAGTGCCCAGCAGCTCAGGGAGGTCGGGTGAGGTTGGCTGTTGGAGGGCAGTCCTCCAGCAGATGCCTTTCTGAAGCAGAAGAGGGGAGTGGAAGCTGGGGGTGGCAGGGGATGCACCTGGACGTGTGTTGAAAGCCACACCGTGTGCTCTTGACCCTTTAGTTGAGTCACAGTAGGGCTGAAATATTTCGTGCTTGCCATTGGCTTAAATAATTTCAGTCAACTGGCTTTAGCAGAAGGGCAGAGTGTTTCTATCCCATTTCCTAGGGGGGCTCCGTGAAGAAGTGCTATTAGATCACCCAAGCTGAATTGACTGTCCTTTACTGGCCATTGAGTTTCACACAGTTATCCCAGCTTTGGGTTTGGTAACTCGCATTAGATTAAAGCATGCCTTCCAGAAAGGCTTGGTCTTTGTCTGAGGACGTCAAGGGAATCAGAAGCCAGCATTTTCTGTGGAAGCTTGTTCCAGGGGATTTGGTTAATCATCCATGTTTTTATTTTATTTTTTAAGAGACATATTAAGATGTCTGATTTGAATTTGCCTGGTAATGGTTTTCAGTATGTCGTTTTCTGTGTCTTCTTCTGCTAGCTTCAAGCATCCTTCTTAATTTGACCTCTGTAAGAAAGTCAGAACTTTGTCCTTACGTAGTCAGTGCACTACAAAAGCTTTGACTTCTCCATGCTGTTTTGCTGTCTAGCAATTTGGGAAAGAGAGCACAGTATCTCCTTGCTGCTGGGCTGCTTGTCCTGCTTCTCATTTCCCTTCTCAGCCTGCCCTATGCCTGGCTTTTGGGACTCCCCAGTGAGCAGCCCCCGCTGCTCTCTGCTCCCTGTGCCAATGCTCTGGCACCCGCCCAGCACAGCAGTGCTGCTGATGGCAGCTCCTCACATCCAGGCTGTGCCCTGTGCCCCTGGGCTGCCCCAAGCATTGTGGAGCAGAGCTCCATCCCCTTGCATGTCTTGCGGGGATTTACAGCTGCAGTGGGACCCCCCTGAGCTGCCCCAGCTCTGGGCTGAGCAGCCCCAGCTCTCACAGCCTCTCCTTCCCCTTATTGAACTGCAGGAGGTTCCTGCCTGCCCATTTCTCCAGCCTGTCCAGGTCCCTCTGCACAGCTGCATTTCCGACGATGTTTTACACCCTTGGTGTACCCTGCAGTGAACAGCTCAAAGACCAGCCACGAAGCCACTCCTAAGCTCTGCATGACATACTATCCCAGTGCCTGGCTGCAATTAAGATTGATTCTGACCATGTAATCCACAATTTAGCACTGAAGCAGTAGCAGCTCAGTAGAAAATAAGACCAAAAGAAGTGTATTCTTTTGCTGGCTTCACATTGCTCACATCAAACAGAAATACGTTGTTCTGGCTCCAATTTAGCACCAGTCTGGCCCGTGGTATAGAACAAACTGTTGAGCATGTCAGCCTCTTTCATATCACACGTGTATATGAAAGAAACTGACGTGCTCAGCAATGTATGTGATATATATATACATCTACACGTACACGTATGTTATCGCAGATCAAAATCGTTAAACAAGCAGGCTTTCAAATTCAGAGCTGTCGTGGTGAAGACAGGGCTGAGTGCATTTTAATTCCTGTTCTCCTTCAGACGGGGAAGTTTGGGGGATGCTCTGCAGCTATGGTTGAGTTCAGATTGTTTAGTAAGCGCTGTCAGCTTCTTACTTTGATATGTTAATATGACTCAGGGTTTCCCACAATCCCCTGGCGAGCAGCAGTCCTTTGCTCCGGTGGTTGTAGCAGACTGGGAAATTTCAGTGTTGCCTTTGGCTTTAGCCAACTCCCCTGCCAGTCAGATCGTGCCACCCATAAACTGCCTGTCAATCACACGTCAGGCTTACAGGGGGGTTCGGTCAGCTGGGGCAACTCCACTTTTTGACAATGTAATTATGGCCCTCGTATCCGCAGTAGGGGCCTGAGCGGAGCTGGGAGACTTTTATTGATTGTTCAGAAGGGAAATTTATCACTGTCTCCAGCTCTGTTCACACTTTATTCCCTCAGAAGTGCTTCTGACAAGCTTTGGGAGAGAAGTTCGCGTGGTGGCCTTGGCTGTTCTTGCACCTTTGTCCTTTCCAGGGAAACTGGGTTGCAGGCAGCAGCTGTGCTGAGCATTGGCAGGGATGGGGTGGGGATGCAGCGTAGGTGTGGATGTCAACTCTTTGAAAGGGGAGATAACAGCAGGACAAGGGGAAATGGTTTGAAGTTGAGAGAGGGAAGATTGAGGTTGGATGTCTGGGGGAAGTCCTTTCCTATGAGAGTGGTGAGGTGCTGGAACAGCTGCCCGGAGAGGCTGTGATGCCCCGTCCATCCCTGGAGGTGTTCAAGGCCAGGATGGGGCCCTGGGCAGCCTGGGCTGCTGTGAAATGTGGAGGTTGGTGGCCCTGCACATGGCAGAGGATTTAAGATTCATGATCCTTGAGGTCCCTTCCAACCCGGGCCATTCTGTGATTCTGTGATGTTGCATCAGTGGCTGAGGACATCTAACGTTTGTGATAGCTCAATTTCCTGTTCCCAACACTCTCATTGCCATGGGAGGCAAAAATGTTAAAGGTGTTTCCCATTCTGTTCCATTTCTTATCCCATGAGGTCATGATTGCACTGTGTGAAGCAGACTGTGCCTCATCCCAAAGAGTAGCATTCTTGCTATTTACCTAAAACCTTATCAGTACCAAGGTTGTGAAGATACGGGGCATGAATATATGAACCTGTTCTCTGCGTGTTGCCTAACAACATATTCCTCCCCAACTAGATGGAAGATGCTACGCTTTGGATTTGATAATATGCTGCATACACTTTGTTTAAAGCCTTAAGCCATCCCATGGCAGGGATTGGAACTGTGTGGGCTTTAAGGTCCCTTCCAACCCAACCATTATGTGATTCTATGACACTATGATTTCAGTCCCTTAAAGTCATTGGAAAGTCCTGCTGCAAAGATGCAAGTGGATGCTGCTGGTAGAAGATGGTAGTAGGTAATTCTTCACTTCTTAAATCTCGAGCTCCTTAAAACCAAAGAAATCTTAAGCATTTCCAGGATTATTTCAGACAAAAATTGTTTTTAATCAGTTGAGCTGATTATTCACTTTAATCACATTTAATCAATAATAAAACACAAAGCATCTGTGAGCTGTGCACTGTTCACCAGAGCCTGTTCATCCCTCAGGAAAGCAATCATTTAATCAAATGGTTCTTGTTTTTCCTCCATTAAGTATGGGTGTATCTGTGTTGAGTTTAAGAGATCATAGACAACATGAGAGAATTTGTTCAAATCCTCTTTCCCTTTCTGTGGTCACTTCCATGGGTTAGTTTTCCTCAGATGTTAGTTATTTCGTGTGGTTGCAGGAGGCTTTCTGCTTTCCAAAATAGCATTTTTCCTTTCAAGACGTTGATTCGCACATGATGCATTAAAGCAGATGGCTCCTGAACAGAAGGCTAAAGCTGCCTTGGATCCCCTGTGTTCACCGGGGGTAGGAGACTTCACTTAGGCACTTCCCATGGAGTAACTAATGTACAATGACTTCTGCCTTCACTTTCTTATTCATAAATGTAAGTTGACCGTTAGATTTTAAAGACCCAGTAGACGGGGGCTGGGGGGGAAAACAACAGATTGTGTAAAACTGAGTTCAGAGAGAGGTGCTGTGTCTTTCATAGCTTGCCTTTCATTCTAGCAGAAACACATCTCTCTTTAATTTAAACTTGAACCACACACTACATCTTTTAGTGCTAATCTTAAAGAAGAAGACAATGTGG